GTGTGTGTGTGTGTGTGTGTGTGTGTAATATATAGTACTTATATATATATATATATATATATAATATATATACAATTTATACATCATATTAACTACAGATTTACGTGGTAACAATCTGCACGAAGCAATTTTTGTGACACGTGCACATCATACCGATAGCGTCGCAGATACGAGTTCCCAATTGTCTGTGGTCAGTGATGAGATGCAATGTCTCATGCCCTTCAGTATACTGATCACGTGCTGTGTTTTTATCTGCTTGTTCATTGTTTCGACTATAAACTGATAGTCCTCACTCCTGCCGTTCTTCCTGCCCTGAATGGCCTCCACCACATTCCCGGGGGTGATCTTGAATCGCGGCTTGACATTCTTCTTGTCGGTGTTGTTTTGCACTGCTACGCCCATTTTGACGTCAATCTAAACTATAATGCAACAGACACAGACGCACTGTGTTATAAAACCCTTCTGATTGTGTGCACGACTACCACAGCCCTTGCACTTGGTATGCGTATGATTGTAGCTAGGCCCACCCGTGCGCACTAAGACTCACACAGCACAGGCACTAAGGTGTTTGCGATCTACCACTCGTGATATAGTTGTCGAGCTCTCCTACTGTACGCCACTTGTCCTATACATTGACCTGTTCACTTACGCCTATCTTTACTTCTGATCCGTGTGTACGAGCCACACAGCTATATGTATAACATCTCTCTAATAGTACATCTCCCTGCCTTCATATTCCATGATGTTAAAGTAAACAGCCTAACACGGGGCTCTGCCGCTACACACATGTTCCGTTTTCATTGGTCAGTGTACAAATTCTACTCACTTCTGGTGGTTCAAAAGGGCGGGCTTTTCGGGAATTCGGGCTATGACCTGAAATGTTCGCTGCTTTAATTATATTCTATTTATAGACTGCTCCGTATTTAAACCATCTAAGGTTCTTAGACTTTAGGGTAATTTATTAGGGTTATCTACAGGGTTTAGGGTTTTATGAATATTTCTCTTTTTTATTATTAAACTCAGCGCGACTCAAGTCTCAGGGGCACCTGAGACTGAGGCTGAGACTGAGAGTCTGAGTCTGTGACTGTGGTCTGTGAGTGGGGCAGGGCCAATTTAGTATGTATTTACAATAAATATCACAAGCCGGCACGGACAGCTTCGAAGTGTATACTTATCTCAGGCCTAGAGTGTGAGGCCCCAGGGTGAGAGATAAGCAGTCCCACTAGCTAAAATCTAGTCTGTCCCACAAGTCTTTTATGTATTACGAACGTAATCTATACTACACTCAAGTCTTCATTGTACTACGAGTGCAATCTGTACTACACAAGTATTGGTGTATCACAAGTTACCGGATGCACACCACTATACCAAAGACACTGAAGCCCCAATCGTTACATTGCCTCTAAGTATTACAGAGTGTATGCGAAGTTTCCAATATCAATCGCTTGCAAGTCACTGTGAACATGAAAAGAGTCGAGAGATCTGCATCTATTTAGTCAAGTAAGCAAGGAACTGATCTTCATACACACTATTTTTGCGTGATTGAGTGCAGTTCATTTGCAAACACTGACAGTGCCTGCGAAATATAGCAACAGGGCCGAGCGTACACCCACGCATTTCGGGTGACTTCTGAAGTATGAGAAAATGACTGAAGTTGGACTGGAAGGCATTTTAAGTTTGTAAGTATTTACCTCATACGCACGCCGAAAACAGCACTTATACGAACATATGTATTCATGTTTGAAATTCAACACAACTATTGAGATCCGGACTATCATAATCGGCATATATTTATATTGCTGTGGTTTAATGTCATTCTTTGTAGAGCGTCTCATTCTGCCTCTAGTTCCCTATCCACAGCTACAACTTAAGTTTAGTCGCATCCGTGGTTGCACCCTACAATCAGTCGCAGTACTTATGAGAGTACTTTGCAATTAAAGCAGAAACACAGTATCACTGCACATGTACTATCAATTTAACACTACACATGCCACATCACATAGAACTTGTACCTGCCACAGATACTATTTCGATGACACTCTTTGGTTTGTGCATATACACATACGCACACATGTATCTCTACGAACACATGGTTGTATACGAGTTTATCCTATCGAAATGTTCGTTTACATGCACTCTCTACTCTATGGTCCTGAAAACCTACATATATATACGATGGTCGCCCACTGTGTATAGCCTGATCCGAGAGTTGTTATAGTACACTAATCTATACAAGCATACATAGATATATACACCCTAATATATACAGACACACATAGATATATACACACTAATCTGTATAGACACACATGGATATATACACACTAATCTACAGACACACATAGATATGTACACACTAATCTGTACAGACACGCATAGATATATACACATTAATCTGTGCAGACGCGCATAGATATATACACACGAATCTATACAAACACGCATAGATATATACACATTAACCTATACATATGCAATTAGATATATACACATTAACATATACATACACACATACATATATGCACACTAAACTATACGCACATACATAAATATATTCAAATTAATCCATACACACTCAATTTGATATATATACGTTAATTTATATACATACACATAGATATATACAAATTAATTTATACACACACACATACGTTTGTACCCACTAATCTATACATGCACACATATTTAAAAACACACTAATCGGTACACACACATATAGATATATACATACTAAGGGTTTTAGGGTTTAGTATGTCGCTGTTGCACATGTGTAGTGGGTTGGTAGTGTGTGTGTGCGTGTCGCTGTTGCACATGAGTAGGGAGTGAGTCTCCGTCTCGCCACGTGGTGTGGTGGCAACGCACCACTCCTGTGTACTGTACTATGACTATACTCAAGTTCTATTGTGTGTGTTCGAAGGCATAAACTTTAAATCAAAATTATGAGTGTTATATTTGTTTATATTTATATATACATATATATATATATATATATATATATATATATATATATATATATATGTGTGTGTGTGTGTGTGTTATATATATATATATATATATATGTGTGTGTGTCTATATATATATATATGTGTGTGAGTGTGTGTGTATACATGTATATATATATATATATATAATATAATTTGTATTTTAAGTAGTGCACTCAATACATATGAGGGTATGAATGATTGGTTGCAGAACTTAATTAAAAAAGAAATCAAGTAAAAGCTAGATAGGCGCTAACTACTCCGATGTACAATGGGTCGTGAAATCTTCGGCGACGTTTCGATTATCTAATGAGAGAATAAAACATTCACAACCCACGCAATTGCTTGCTGTTGAATAGCTTACTTTGATGGTTTCATGCACTGTCAGTGTTTTTGAGATTGAAAACGCGGATGTGTAGCCGCTGTGGAGATTGAAACGCGGATGTGTAGCCGCCGACTACCCTAAGGAAGTTGGTCATTTTCAATTGGGGCCTACACTTACTGTTGATTTTTTTTATTTCATTTTTTTATACGGAAGTTAATATACTTATTACTATTGATTATTTTATCTCATATATTTATACTATAGTTATAGTACTATGACAGTTTGATCAATTTTCCAGTTACGATCAGACATTCTAGTGTGTCTCATGCTGTCTCTCACATCATACAGACTTGATCGCATGTCATTGATAGCTAAATTGTCGTTGATAATTGAATTTGCCTCGAATATTGTCTCTGCCGTGAATTCAGTGCCCGTGGACCACATGCTCCATACACCTCCGTCTGTACCGGCTGCGTTGTCCTGGAATAGCCCTTTGATAGTCATTTTGCCACCTGTGTTGTGCACATTGGATGCGATAACACCACCTCGTCCTGGTGTTGTATTTTTCATACAGTGCGCGTCCATCTCTAGAACCCCAGTGCCGAAAATCTTGTTTACTCGAATAGCGCCTCCGCGTGAGCCGTTCCCAGAATCTACACCTTTGTTGCCTTTGAACAGACCACTGATTTTTGTACTGCCCAACACACCCTGTATTTTCAAGGCACCTCCTTCGTTAGATTCGTTGCCTGTAAATTCTGCGTCGATATTAACAGTGCCGGCAAGGTAATCCAAGTATATGGCACCTCCGCCCGCGTGATTGGAACCCAATCCTGGGTAAAAGCTTTTGTTATCGATGAACATGCCGCTAATACTCATTTTACTAGACTCGGGCAAGTAAATGACCGCGACCGCGGAACCACCAGCAAATCGGTCCGGTTCTGACGAACTTTGTACTAAATTCTGGAATTTGCAATCTGCATCGATGAGTAAATTCAGCACATTTCCAACTCTAATACCTACGCCCAGCGCCTCACTTTGCATATCATGTATGTGCACGTTATAAAACTTAGCATCAATTGTTTGCGTTCCCGCGTCAGACTCCTCCCCACCCGCGTGAAACGCTGCTGCTTTGTTTATGCCCTGGCTGGTGAAATCTAGATCCCTGAATTCCACTATTTGTCCAGATTTTGTGGCCTGTAGCATGGCTTGCTTCTTCGAGTCGAACTTGGCAATCAAGCTAGCTCGATTGCCCGCACACATCTCTCCTTGAAATTTGACGTTACTGCCGAAATAAACCGGCTCCTTCACGATCACATCGCCTCCAAAGTGAACAGTGTCTTCGTTTCTGGCGGCCTTGACGGCATCCTTGAATTTACCATAGCACCTATTGTTTATAACCCCTCCCATGCATGAGCAAGCTCTGTGTGTACTGGAATCTGTGGCTCGTGCGCGGCTGTTTATTTGCTGGCAGCAAAGAGTACTGTCACACCTTGGAAGGTCACCGCATTGATCACGGAATCTGCAACATTTAGTATCATTGTTCAATTTTATGTCATTGTCCCGACAAAAACCTGCTTCAAACCTTGCTGAACAAGTAGTACTATAATCAAATGCTTCACGACTGGCGCGTGTTGAAGGTGATATATTTATGTTGCTATCTACAGGCTGTGCTTGTGTGACTACATCTCTAGCTGATATGATTGAAGCAGCACCCACAAGTGTGAGACTAGCCACTGCAGATGAGTATATAATTGTTTTGACTCGCATGATGGTGATTGGGGTGTATACTAACATGCGCTGAAGGCATTTATAACGTTTCTAAAGAATTGGCAAGAATTTTTTTTGGATACTATTGATTTGACACAAGGAACTACCCCGTGTAAATAAACTGGGACTACCCCTTCGTTTATTTTAGCTATTCACTGTTCAGTATTCAATACTCAATATCGTTTATCGAGTGTATATATATGTTCATCAGTTTACAGAACAGAATGTACTCCCTTGACTCCGGGGAGTTCGCGTATACAGTAGTGATTAGTGTTCCCGAATCCATATGTAAGATTTCTAGTTATTATAACTTATTAACTTCTAATCAGTAATCTTAAATATACGCTTCGTGAAGATTCGTGTGCGTTTTTTTAACTGCCTGCAGCCAGTCCGCAGACTCCACAGTCCACAGACCATATACCTGCCCTTTTTCATAAGTCTACACTCTACAGTCTACACTCTACTATGGTCTCTATGTATGTTACTCTACACTCTACAGTTGTCTACATACCACCGGTAAAATTACTTAAGAGCAATGATCTACAAACGGGAAGAAAACATAAATAAATGACCAATCAAATCAATATTATAATTTGAAAAGGCTCAGTGGAATGCTAAAGCACTTCTGATTTATTATACGAAAAAATTATTTGTTCAAAGCCACTTTTTAAAAACTCTCAGAGTAATTATAAACAATCTAAAAGAGTAAACGCAGGTTCGAATTGCAAACACTCACAAGAGAGTGAGACAACGAGTATACATACATCAGTAATGTATAGAACAAATCGAATTCGAAAAGATCTCAATGGTCACTAGAGAGTACTCTGAGAGTTTGAGAATGATTTGGTTGCTAACCTCAAATCGGTTTCCGTTAAAACATATAAATCGAATAATATACGTTTACGTTCAACTTTTATTCCATATACGGTCCTTTGTATGTTCACAGGTGCACCTTGCGGGTTTAAATATCTAAGTTTGTAATGTTTTCACTATACGAGTCAGTCCTATAAACCGAATTTGGGTAGACCCTTTTGATCACATTATAACCGTTATAACGTTTTAAATTGAATAAATATGCACGCTATGTATAGCTTTTCAGGGTCCCAGGACCAGGAGCCCAGGACTGAGGAGTGAGGACTTCCAGCCTCAAAGAGGATCCAAAAGCCAGGAATGCGTTTTGCTTTATAATATTTTGTTTTCTTAAAAAACAAAATAGACCGTCGTAGGCTAGCCACATACAGGCGTCCTCTTTATATGTTCAGTTCCCGTTTTCAACAACATATTGGACATATAAAGAGGTAGACTTGTCTGGGTCAGGCTCACCCTACCAGATTCTTCTATCCTGTATCGTAGTAGACTGTGTTGTTGTGTAGTTTGTGTCGATTTCTTTGGCTTAATCGGTGTGCCATTGTCGAAAAAGAATCACCACGATAATCTGGTGCCTGGAATTCATCTGTAGACAAGCAGTAAACCATCGAGTCCTACCCTTCGCCAATATGCACACCACAAATTGCATGCATATTGCGGTCGCAACCAGCACACTAGTGGGCACCTGAAGTTGGTTGCGTAATCGTGCATTCTTTCATGCAACAACGATCACCACTAGAAGTATCTTGCATCAGAAATTGATAAATAGTAGTTAATGTACTTAGAAGGCTTAGGTATTACTACAAGCTAAGCTAAGATTGTTGTGAATAAAACACACACACACGTTACATATAAATACAATATACGAACTGGCTCAGACTTCAGAAGCGCCGAGTGAGCCTCGGATAGGAGTCTCACTGAGCGTTGAGACCCGAGGAGGGGCAAGCTGATAGACCGGCTCCCAAGGGCCTGACTCACATATGGTTCGGCCCAAATAAAAACTGGACAAATAAAGAGGTAGACATTTAAACGAGATGCACATATTAAGAGGTGCGACTGTACATATTTATTTATATGAAAACTAAAACCAAATGTTTGGTTTTTTTTAGGTTATACATGGACAATCCAAAACCACATATTCTTACATAGCATCTAAATATTTCTCAGTTCATGATCTATTTTATAAAACTATTTACCAAATAAAAAGATTCGATAGTTGTATTGGCTTACGATATTCCCTTCTGTTTTATAAAAATAACGAAATACCTCAGTCCTCCCTCAGCCTCAGTCGTTTGGTTTTGTTTTTTTATTTACATTCCCTGGGAGGTTGGGCGTCTGCCCGTGTCGTCTGGGCCCCCTGGCCCTGGGCCGGGCAAGGGCCAAGTGTATATAAAATAAATCTCTGAAATATCGTTTCAGAGTGCGAATCGTCGACTCGCTCAACTATAAGATGAGTACACGCGGATCCGTCCTGACAAATTTATAGACGCAAATAGTAAATACGTGCAGAAAGTCAATTATGCTTGTTTGCGATCTTTGTTATAGGTACACATGCATCCTTGAAAACAAAAACATCGAACTTAGCATAACTCATTCAAGATAATATGTCCATAGATTCAGTATCGTTTTAGGTGGAGAATGACTCGGGGTTCGCCGTACTATTCACGCCCGTCATTTCAAATGCATAACGAAGTCGCACTCATAATAACTTATATATTTACACTCTCAACTGTTACGTTGTAAGAAGAATAGCAAAATGGTGAAGGAAATGTGACTATAACTTTTACTAAGGGTGGAAACAATATCGTCTGAGATTTATGGACGGTCGCCTCACGCAGCCAAGTGGTACCAAAAAAAGTTCATTAACGGAAGCTACAGACCTTTTTTTTAAAAGAGTTTGGAAGCTTTTCATGTAAAGATGAGATATTTTAGTTGCGCATTAGATACAAGAGAACGCTCACTTTCTAACATTTACAATTTGATTGGCTGTGAAGCACATCCACTTCATATCTCTGGATATGCTTGTACACGATTTGAATCGCAGATCTTGTCCGACACCAGAATGGATATGCCGGAGTAAGCGGTGCGTACCCTTCACCGGTATTTAAATCGTCCATGTCCATTCCTTACACAAGAAGTAATGATATTAAAATCTATCGACTACTACTCGTACACAAACCTTCGGATACATTTTCTTTTGCTGTATAGGAAATATAATTTTCAACTACGGATCATGCTCAAGGTGCAATATTCAGGAATACGATATGCCAGTAATATTCGACGGAAAGTGATGCGCATGAGGCTTGAAGGTCAAGTCCGATTGCCAACGACTCTCTCACTTTTCTAAGGTTTTCAGATGAACTTGAATATATATCATGAGGATACGCTCTTACATATCGTCAAAACAGTTGTCCGCATGCCAGACGATATACTGATAGCAATGCTAATTGTTTATTTGCAAGTTGTAGGCCTCATCGTGTTTTCCCCTTCTGTACGCATCGAGCACTTCGAGCAAATGGGCAATGACGCCTATGTCAGACACAGCTATTTAAATGGTGATTGTGTATGCGAAGGATGAAATAGCTTGGTTCCAGAAGCAGAAGCAGGGTACCAGACTGACTGCACTGATGTATTGAAAGACTTTATTTCATGGTATTTGATTCATGATATTTGAATCAAAGTTGAATTTAGTATTAAATTCCAAATACATTGAGCAAAAGCGAACTTCGAAAATATGGCTTTTGGGTAAATATTTCGATCTTATGCTACCTACATATGCATAGAAGTGCAAATTATCTTATGACATACTTTTTGCTGAATATCAAGCAGCCAGTCTTGGGATTGATGTTTTGCTGAAAGTGCAGTCCTCCAGGAAAGACTATTGCGAATGTTGTATATGAACTTTATCTGGCACCTGTCACACACAGAGCGAACTGAAGTAAGCGTGTTGCGGCGTGGTTCACTATTATATGATGTCGTACAATTGCGGAGCAATATATTTTAGCATAACTTGACTGACACTCACTAGTCTGTTTTTATCGCCTGCACTTTTACACACACGAAGTTATGTCAACCAGTATCACCCTGTCTTCGATTTGAATACACATCCATCAAAACGGTACAAAAGACTAGTTCGGTGATAATGGTATCGTTGATCCTAACTTTAGACACGTATCGCTGATCTTAACTTTAGTACCATACGAAATGCACTGTTAACAAATGATTTAAATTGTTGAATTCATATGAGCGACAAATCAGCAATAGTACTTGTACTCTATTGCACGCAGATTTCTGATCTGTACACAAAAAAGAGCATGCCTTCATGCAAAGGTATTTGTTTAAGTCTAATAACAGCTACAGTGAGAGTAACCCACCATTATGGTCGAAGATACCCTTACTAATTGTATGTATAATTTGCTTCATTTTGTCGGTGAATACTCTATAGTCAGTTAATATTTCAGTTTACAAATTTAACGGGTTGTATGATTATATTGTAGTTTAAAATCAAAATCGTATAGCGCACTAGTGGTTGTTTCGGCTGGCAAAAAGTCTAGCCATACTTCCATTATACTCAACGTCCGTATGAGACGAAAAAACTGTGAGTAGGCTCTGAATTTACCACAATGCCAGCTTGACACAATTTCATCGCCATCATAATCGCGAGTGAAATGGTGGTGTCACTGGAATAGACGAACTCGACGGTTTTCGGCTTTGATCAACAAAACTGCATGATTTCTCGAATGATTGGAGTATGGGAAAAGTATTTGGCACAAGAATCGGGCTATATCAGCACACGGCTGGTGTGCACATTGGTAGATCTCATTTTTGTGTGTGTTTGCAGCAACCTTGAGCTGCCTCATACTACTTTTCGCAGTAGATCTCTTATTCATTTATATTAGGTGCCTGTACGTAATGCATACTGAATATAGTCACAGGGGCTTTCCAACGATCAGCACACATACTTTCCATCTCACTGTCAACGCAGGTGTGCGTAGGTTATACCTCTTAAACAAATCATTCTAAAAAATAATAAAAAGAACTTTTTATGCACTCCCCATGAATTGGTCTTGCATTGTGTCACTGTCGTCTACCGTATGAACGCATAGACCATCCGTGGGTTTTAATTAATATATAACTGTCCGGATATGGCCGGAATTGTGAATACGACTCCTTTTTCAGATGACTCCCATCAGCCCAGATTATGCATGCAGAACTCGTTTGAGAGTAATGGCCATTATCATTTACATAAGTGTACATGACCCTCTGGAGGGAGGGAGAAAATGGAATATTTACTCCTATCGTAATTTGGCACACATGACATTCCTGATTGGGTTTCTGTGTGGTTTATATAACTTGCTTATACATGCACACCAATGTGGTAACAATTCAATCTCGACTCGAAAGTATTGATATGTGCCAACTTCACTGGTATATCGGGGACATGAAAGGATCTGTGACGCATCCTCTCTCCGTCTCTCTTGATGTGATCCCGGTTCTATGTTAAACCTATATTGTATTCATCAGAAGAAGAAAATAAGTATACAATTTACGAGTCAGGAATTCATATTGCATATCTGGATGCGCTACGTTCAGCTAGTGAGGGAGAAACAGCAATATCAATCATTTGAGGCAAAAGTTGAACTTAGTTTAAATGGTTTATTGTATAATACGCCTGATACCGGTTGACCGTACATGGTAGATCATTTGAAGCATGAGTTGAACTAAGTTGTTATAAACATGGTTTATAATATGCATGGTACAAATACCGCACATGGTATATTATTTGAAGCATGAGTTGAGCTAAGTTGTTAATATGGTTTATATATTGTATAATACGAATGATACGGTTGCTGCACATGGCATATCATTTGAAGCATGAGTTATGGTGTATTGTAGAATAGGCCTGATAGCATGGGTTGAATCAAGGTTATGGTTTATTGTAGAATAGGCCTGATATGGTTTAACCGTACATGACATACCATCTAAAGCATGGGTTGAACCAAGTTGTTATGGTTTATTGTAGAATAGGCCTGATATGGTTTAACCGTACATGATATACCATCTAAAGCATTTTTTTGAACTAAGAATTTATTGTAGAATAGGCCTGATATGGTTTAACCGTACATGACATACCATCTAAAGCATGGGTTGAACCAAGTTGTTATGGTTTATTGTAGAATAGGCCTGATTTAACATGGGTTGAACTAAGTTGCTATTGTATATTTATTAAATGATTCGTCTGATACGATCACCGTATATAGTGATGTCTCGTGAATTGAGTCCCAGTTTCCCCCCTTCGATGTCCACCAGGTATTGCTTCAGAGCAGACATGTCACGCATCTCGGCCCACGTCTGCACAGCCAGAATAAGCCAAAGAGAAGACGTTTAACGGATACACACGAACGAATAATATGCGAAGGGTATCTGAATTGAAGTTGTTTGACAGTGGCACTCTAACGGATATGCAGAGGGAAGCTGAACTGTTTGAAAATAAATGTAGGCACACATGCGTGATGGTCCTTAGCAACCGCCAACGGGCGAGTGTGGAAGGTGGCAAAGGCTTGTGAGGAGTGTATTGATAGTACAGATTGCAGAGGTCTTATAATTTGGATTGAGTTACTGGCGGTTGTATTGTATAGTAGTCCATACTATTAGTTACATGAAAATAACTAATCCATATCATCGGTTACATAAGAATTACTAATCCATATCATTGGTTACATGATTATTACTAATCCATACCATTGGCTACATGATAACTACTGGTTACATGATTAATACTAATCCACACTACTCCAGTACAACCATTACAGTTCGCCACAACATACATACGGGCTGCTGGGGACCTACTCACACTGAACCCTAAAACCCTACAACCCAAATGGTAAGCGTAAAACCACATCACAGCATGTGTCCCAGAGCACAAGCACTGCACGTGTAGCTTACGTCTATGGCGTCGTCCACCTGTTCCCCTGCGACTACCGCCAGATACCTCGCCTGCTTGTCCTGAATGGCACTATAGAATCTGCAGCGAATAGCCAATACGGTGAGAGGGGTGAGTTATCAGCCAATGCAGTGACAGAAATGAGCCATCAGCCAATACGATGAGAGGGATGAGTCATCAATACGATGAGAGGAATGAGTTAATAGCCAATACGGCGAGAGGAAATGAGTCAATGGTGCTAGCCCAATGGGACCATTAAGTCCCTATGCCAGTTATATTCAATTAACTAAATGAAGCATATGCCCAGATCCACTGAAGTGAACATCCAGGAAATGCGCCACCCTACACAGTCCCTCTATAACCTGCGTAGGGGGCCAGAGTGTGGTCAAACACTCCCCAGCCATCGTCCACATACTTTCGTATCACAGTGAGCGGTGCCTGGTGTCTGTGCAGCACATCGATGAGATTCTCTATGCCGATGGGGATGTCCACTGTCGCGGTCTTTTTAGAGGCGAATATACCCAGTGCTGTTGGTTTGGCTTGGAACATGCCCTTGATCGCCTCCCAGTCCTGTAGTTGAGCCCTAGCCTCGACTGATATCCACGTGTAGTGTCTGTCAGACACCTGGGTGTGGGTGGTATGGGGGCGTGCAGGGGGTGTGTGAGCAGGGTGAAGCTCAGGATACGGAGGAGGATGTATATGGTAACTAAATATAAGTCATAGTAAGATATGCACATGTTGAGTGATAATCATAACATGTACTACACACAGGCACATTTTCAATGCGGTCGGTTCTATGGTGCAGGATCATGGTAGATCAGAGAGAAGTGGGGGTAAGGCTCACCCCACGACTCAAAGCATACACGGGTACTGAGGTATAAACACACACTG